GGTTGATATTGTGGTAATGTACTTTGGACTGAATACTGGTATTGAGGTTGATATAACTGCATTGGCTGGTTTAGCTGGCTTGGAGCGAAATTTTGCTGGATTTGTGATGCGGGATGTGGTCCCGTTTGCATTTGTTGTGGAAAATATCCTAGTTGTTGAACTGTTAAGTTTTGGTCGCTGAGGTTCATCTGGCTAGATGTTGAACATTGAGAGTATGGAAATGGATATTGATTATATCCGTTCGACATTGTGGTTTAACTATTAATATTAGTATAAGATGTTACCTTTGATTTGTGGATTCCAAAAAATTAGCTTCGCAACACATTTTTGACACAATCGCCAGCACTAATATTAATATAGTTACTTTATTTTTATTATTTAATTTGTTTTGGAATAATTAATTGTGTCGATATATATCAAAAACACCCAAGTCACGAGTAAACATTTTTCAGATAATGATGTTTTTTTGTAGTTTGAGGTTTTAGCTAGTATAAAGTTGTGATTTTATTTCGCATTATCAATATTATGCCTGGGAACACAGACAAGTCAAAAATCAAATTAAATTCACAATGTAGATACACTTTTTCATTAATTTTACTAGGACTTAGGCATATTTGATATAATGGTTATGGATTTGGGCAATATTGAAAAATAGATAATTGGACTTGGGAGAGTTTGAAATATTGCAATAGGACTTAGGTGAGTTTGATATGACTTACTTACTGAGGTACGGACTCAGGAAATTTGAAAGTCAATTTTATTATAAAAATATGTTTTCCATAAAATATGAGCTAACATATTTATTGTCTTTTGGTTTTTTAGATTATTAGATATATGAGATTAAAACGAATGAGATTAATAAAAAAATTTTAATATATAGATATTAACCATAAAAATATTGAAATCTAAGCAAGAACAAAGAACTAGACAAAATCAAGTATTTCCTCAGGTACGGAGTCATTTTCTTCACCACCTACATTTTCACCATCATGTCCGGGTAGAGCCAGAACGTTTCTAAAATAATTTAGCTCCGGGATTTCCGGCCACTGATCTCCAAAGTGTTTTTTCAACAGTTTATTAACATCATCAAGCTTCTCTTGTTTAATGGTGACACTTTGAGTTATTCTGTTAGGTAATATTTGAGAAATCTTTTTACCTCGTTTTGTTATTGGTAAGAGTTGACTTATGTCATTTCTGTAAGATAATTCACCCCGTACCATAATTTTTTTAATTACCTTTTCAATAATTATGCGCTTGCATTTACTGATTTGGAAGTGCAGGCTCTGTGTGGGTTTAAGCACATTCTTGCATGCTTCTTTCCAATCAAATACAGGCACTTGATCAACTAAATTGTAGACGGTAGCATTAGACGACATTAAATTAATGTAGTCGTTTGGATTTAATATGTTTTCCAGACGCCTTATTTTTTTTTTCAGTTATTGCAAACACCCTATCAGGAGGAATAAAGCTATGACCTGTTACTGGAAAACTTATCTCAACTTTAGATAAATCATTTTGTGTCTCGTGTAGCCATTTTGAAACCATACCAATTAAAGTGGAGTTTTTGTTTTGTCCTCCACAGCCATCGGCTACCAACCTGACAACTTTTTTTCCCTCAATATTTAAATTTTTTAGGCAGTGATAGACACATGATGCTATTTCGTTGGAGCCTTTTAGTGCCTTATCCTCAGTCCAAACATAAGAGAAGACATTTTGACGTGTTAAATTTGCCTTTGAGTTTTCCACAACAATTGTAAAATTGTATATATATATATATATATATATATATATATATATATATATATATATATATATATAGCTGCCTTGAGTAATATGTTGATTGACCTGGTACCCTGGGCATGGGTAGATTTTTTTGACAATCAAATGAAAGGATGAGTATATCTGGATCTTCATCTTTCAAAAGCTGAAAAAAGCGTTTAGCTCTCATCTTATGAATTCTATATTGTGCACGTATATTTTCCTTTTCAATGCCGTTTGAACATCTTTTCAGTTTTTCTATAAGCTGTAGACAATCGGAGCAAACATCCTGTCGTGGTGTCCCAAATCCAATGTTAAAAGATGTATTAAATACTTTTCTGAAATACGATTTAGTCACTGAGAATCCGGGTAAGGATTGATCTTCATACATTTTGTACATTTTAGTAATATTAAGACTAGGGTCTAAATAAATTCTCTGTTTTATCTTGCCCCTACAGTAATGAGAATCTAAAGGTTGGAATTTCATAATAAATTTTTGGACCGAATCCAATTTCGATCTATATGCAAACTCTTTTTGGTTACCACCTCTCCTCTCTGATGCACTAGTCCCATTTTCTGCAAATCTTTTAGTAACTCCTTTTATTCTACCTTGTTTTATATTTAACACATGACAGAAAGCTGGAAGACAGACTGGAACAAGTTGCTGTGACTTGTGGTCAGGAATAAAAAAAATGATTGGAATGCGATTTTGGAGTTCTGGTATTTGTTCTTGATCGTTTTCGTTCTACAGTAGTTATAGATGTGTACTTCAAAATGAAATTATCTTGATCAATTTTTTTATGACTGCTATAAAACTTCTTATGGAAGTAGAACATGGTATTAGATGTTAAAGATTCACATTTGTATTTGCTTTTATTCACGTGCTTACATGTGGGCTTTTTGGGTAAAGATGTGGCCAAGTATCTGAAAAAAAAAAGAACTTTAAGAAGCAGAAAAGAACTTCAAAAAAAGAATAATAATAAAAAGGAAAAGAGAAAATAGTTGCTGTGAGCAGCAGGGTGCTTCCCAACCTCAATTTAAAAAAATTAATTGATGAGAACAAAATTTTTGATCTTTTGAGCTCGATTTTGTGACCACGTGGTGGTAGGGAAGCAATAAATGAACAAAATATGAAGAAAACAAAATCAGAATATTTACACATATTTATTTTAACTAGGTAAAATTTATTTTAATTTACATTTAATACTTAAAACTGCATTTAATACCAATCAAGAAATGGGATAGGTCTAAGTTCGAACAATCAAACGCAGTCCGACCCTGTTTTCCGACACGACTAAGCTGTCTCGAGGTAGGATCTCACCATGAAAACATTTAATATTATGCTCAAACTTACCTATCTTGTCCATCTTTCTTCACATTATCAGTTGTAATTTTTTTCTGCTTCTTTTTTGCTAGTTCTGGAGGCACAACGTTTATTAAATTGTTCATAATTAAAATATAAATACAGAGCACGGTTATCACTAGTACGTGGTTTAAACAAGAATGGCGGCCATGACAGAGTAAAGATTAAATGTGATTGGCTGTAATGGACTCTGGCGGGTATGATTTGAAACGCGCCGGTGACTTAGGTTGGATTGATACAATCTATCAACTTCTGCCGTTAATTTCTTTAGGAAGCCGAGGACTTGGGTAGTATCGATATAAACGAAAAGAATCGAAATTTTTTACTGAATTTAAGAAATAAATAATATCTAAAATAAGCAATAGTGGACTTGGGCGAGTTTGATATGTATCGACACAATTAGGTTGATTTAAATATATAAAATCTGTTTTGTATCACTACACCAGATTTATTTTTAATATTTCAAGTCCATTAAGGTATAATTAGCTTTAAATGGTAAAATTGATAACAGTAATTGTTTTATCTACAACCGTCCTCGATCAAGTTTGGACGACGACTATTACACCATTAGTTTTTTTATTTCATTCAATGTGAAATGGACCTGGTGGTGGTTTAGTTGTATTCCATGGATCTGGAATTATGCCTGGTGGATTGGATTTAATTCTATTCCATTTTTATTCCAAGACGAGACCCAAGTGTCTAAAAACAGAGCAACGTTAAGTTTTTGGCACATAAAACTAGTCAAGTGTCCTCGCTCTATGACATGACTTAAATTCCAGAGAATAAAGACTTTTCATAGAGTCACGTTTATATTAAAGATAAAGTGACTGAACACAAAAAACTTTTTAAATAAAACAAAAAAAGAAGTAATAATTATAATTTGAAAAAGATAAATTAAATGTTTTAATTGAATTATCTATTATATTATTATAAATAAACAAGTATCTGCTAATGTGGTAGCAAAAGTAATAAATCGTAAGTACTTTAGTAAATGATGCGCACAGAGATGGTATATGAGGCAATCATATGATGCGGTTATATCCAGTATTATAAAATACTAATATCATACATAAAATTCTGAATTGAAGATATAAAATAATAGCAAAAGTAATTAAGAAGAAATAAGGATGAATACTTATTTCTAAATACAAAAAGTCTAAATGGAAGTTTAAAGAGAAAGAAGGGACAGACCAAAGAGAAGCTGAAATATTAAGGAATACAAAATATGTAGTGAATGACGGATGAGAAGCTATAAAAAAATAAAAAAAATCAGAAATCTAAATTCGAAAAAAAAAAACAGGTACATTAAAATAATTCCAACAGTTAAATATAGTAGTCGACACACATCCGTTTGCTACAAAAACTTAAGAAGAAATAGGAACTAATTGGATACAAAACTAAAAACATTTTTCTCGTGGCAAGCGGGATATGTGTTTGCTACTACAAACATTTGGACTGCAAATATAAAAATTTATATTTTTTAATTCTCGGGGGATCATGGTCTTTTACAATCTGCCTTTCTTCTACCGACATACATTTCCGCTTTCTTCTGCTGCTGTTCATTCGCCTTAATGCCAAATTGACTTAACAATTCAAGTTCAATTACTCATTGAACAAATATTCATGTGACAAACCATAACTTAAATAGAATATTTTTATGATCTCTTAAGAAACTCTTAATCCATCATGCAACATAATAACCGCACGGAAAAGTATATACTCACAGGGGAAAAGGAAATAAATATTAAATCGTTGAGTTTAGGATTGATCATATCAAATAAATCGACGTAACAAGTATCTTTATTTTTGATGAAAAATTTAAGTTCTTAATGAACAAAAATTACAATTTTATGATACTAATAAATCATTTTTGTTTTAGAACCAATTTGATCGAACGAAGTAATGAAATGATAGAGGAATTAGTTAAAATCGGTGTAGGAAAACATCCTATTGTATGGGTTGGGCACTCCAAAGGAGGACTTTACATAAAACAGATGATGCTTACTAGTAAGTAAAACGTTAGTATGTATAAAATATAACTATTTAAAGATATTTTTTATTCTGACTTGTTATAGGTACTCGTTAAGTTTCCTTCTATATATTAGGAGCAGATTTTTCTTTATTGTAATTTTTTCATTTCTGGAATTGTTCCCTTCTTTTTATAACGGAAATGGATTTTTGGAGAAGAGCGACAGGAAGATCTAGAAGAGAAAGGATTAACAACGAACGAATTAGAGAAAGAAGGAGTATTAAATGAACAATCACAGGAAATACTAAAATGGCAACCACAAGGCAAGAGAAAACGAGATAGACTGAGAACAAGTTGGGAGAGAAGGAAGCATAGAAGGGGACCTAAGGAAAGACCGGACGAAGTGGAGATTGGAAGTCGAAAAAACGGCAGAAAACGTTGTAAACCCACATGTAGTAGTAGTATTTCATTTATTTGCAACGAATACATGTACAGGAATATTCGTATATCATTCCATTGTCATCCCGTTATATGTATTTCTAGGTTTTACTCTCATTAACCGGGACCTGTAAAGAAGACTAGACATAAATTCTCCTTTTAAAAAACTATCTGGCAATAAAGCTGCTAACTGTGGCATATAAAATACTGTCAAATACTGTGTATGACCAATTGAGACCATATGCGGAACAAATAGTTGGGGGATATCAATGTGGTTTCCGCAGGCAGAAGTCCACAATAGATCAGATCTTCGTCTTGAGGCAAATCTTGGAAAAGACTAGTGAATTTAATATAGACACACATCATCTTTTCATTGACTTTGAGAGTGCCTATGATAGCATCCATCGACAATTTCTGATCCATGCACTGAAAGAGTTTAATATTTCAACTCAACTCATTGATACAGTAAAAGAAATACTTAAAGTACAAAGCACAATTCGAATTCAAAACGCACTAACAGATGCAATCCATGTTAGAACGGGCCTACGACAGGGAAATGCCCTATCCTGTATTATATTCAACATCACATTAGAGAAAATAATAAGAGTCAAAAGTCAACACCAAAGGAACAATACGAACAAAAAGTGTACAAATATTGGCTTTTGCAGATGATGTTGATATCATAGCTAGAAGCGAAAGAGAGATGATAGAAGCATTTAATGCGATAGAAAGAGCGGCACAAAACAGTGGCCTAAACATTAACGAAATAAAAACCGAATACACGAAGGCCAGAAAATCGACAGACCAAAGAAACCTACAGAATCTGATAATAGAAGACGTGAAAAAAAAAATCGAAAGCGTGAAAAATTTTCCATATCTAAACCGGTCCTTGTATACGGATCAGAGACATGGACACTGTCGAAAAGCGATGAGAACCTATTAGGTACGTTTGAACGAAAAATCCTTAGACACATATATAAGGGGCTAAAGGAAAATGACATATGGCGCAGAATATATAACTTTGAACTCTACACAGTATACAGTGAACCCGAGGTCATAACATCCATAAAGATCTGACGTCTTCGCTGGATGGGCCATGTTGAACGGATGTTGGAGGCTGAAAAACCAAAACATATAATGAGCCAAAAACCAGTAGGGAGAAGGTCAAAGGGAAGACCCAAACGTAGATACATGGAACAACTAGAACAAGGTCTGAAAACACTTAAGATTACCAACTGGAAAAACAAAGCAAGGAACAGAACATAATGGCGGAAAATCCTAGAACAAGCCAAGACCCAGAAAGGGTTGTCGATGATGATGATTGATTTATGGCTGTCACAATGTTTCGGATTGAACTGTAATGTAAAGTAATGTATTACTTTTGTTTCTATTCGATTCACATTTTCCATTTATTGATCTAGTTTTTACTAGTAGTATAGCATTATTAGTAGTCGGTTAAGCTTTGATACAATATTTGCCTATTTTGCAAACTTTTTTTTTTAATAAATATTGCAAGCAACCAAAAAGGCAATAATAGCGAGAAGATGAAACTAACTAATTGGAAACTAAATAATAAAACACTACAGTGATCTAGTGCTACGGGTAGTGGGTAGATACTCCTTTGCCATCCTGGCGGAGGACTGATCTACTTCAGGAATAGCACACCTGCTCTCGTGAGCTCATTGTTTTGCCCCTAAATCCCTCTCTCCTTCTCTCCTACGCTTCCTTCTCTCCCACCCTACTCAACAAGAATGTTGAGAAAACCAGATGCAAAAAATCCGTAAGTTAAGGTGGAAGCGATCCTGCTAAAAACCAAATGGTCGCACGCCACGTAGCCGCTAACGGTGCTATTGGGACACTGGGTGAAATCCATTGAACATCAGCCTTGTTCCTAAATGCGTGGCTCTACAGGGATCAACCAAAGGTTCTCAGCTACTCGTGAGAATAAATATGAATACTCACCAATATGCAAGACAAGCACGGTGTTTAAATGTCAAAAATCGGACCACTGTAAACCAACCCTGCTCAAAAGGCGTCAAAAAGGTAAACCTCAACATCGCCATAATATATAATGCTCGGTCTTTCTCTACCGAGAAAAGATTCAAAGAAATTGAACAAGAACTCTCAAAAGTGAATTGGGATATTGTGGATGTAAGTGAAGTACGAAAAAAGAGAGAGAGTCTTATCACACTCCCGTCAGGCAATGTATGGTAGGTACTACAAAGGAGAAGAAGAATCGACAATCGGAGGCATCGGCTTCTCCCTTCACAAACGAATTGCCAACAGAATTGTGTCAATAAAGCAAATCTCAACAATAGTGGTTTACTTAAATAAGTAAGATATATCCTAAAAATCGTTCAAGTAAACGCCCCTACTACAAGACATCAAGACGAAGAAGTCCAAATATTCTTCGATCAAATATCCTGTGTAATCAAGGAAGATCAAGGTGGTAGACACAGTGGGAGAAACAGCAAGACCACTTAATGTCAGGATAAACGAGCACGAAACATACATCAAGAATCCATATCAACGGGAAATCACCACATCAACGAGAAATCTCATATGCAAGCATGCCTGGGACAACGAGCACAGACGACAATGCAAAGATGTATCAATAATCATGAAAGAAACAGACACGAAAAAGAAGAAAATTAAAGAAGTTAACCTGTTAGTTATTACTCTCATAAACAGTTTGTACATTTGGGATAGCAGGGAGATTGGCCTATAGTTCTTCAGATCTCCCCTGTCTCCCTTTTTGAAGAGAAGTATTGTCAAACTTTCATTCCAATCATCTGGGACTTCTCCCAAAAAAAAATTCAATTCTTCGAGAATAATTTCACTCCCTTCCTTCAACATTTCTACAAGTATTCCGTCTGGGCCCGGAACCTTATTCTCCTTTAGTTGTGCCATAACTTTTAGGTTTTATTTCGAAGAATTCTATGTTAGGGAGTATTTCTGAGTTGACATTCGTTATGTTTCTCTTAAGATCTTCCTTTGCAGTGTTATCTGGGTTCTTGTTTGAGGAATATAAATCACGGTTAAATGTATGAGTAACTTTTAGGATTTCGATCTTTTCTCTTATTTCTTTTCCATCTTTATCCTTCAATGACATTGTTATAGGTTTTCCTAAGTTTGATCTTAAGCATTTCAGGCCTTGGTTCTTTTCTATTATTTTTTCAACATTGTTTTCATTATAGATTCTTAAATCTTCCTTTACTCCTGTTCATTCAATTCTTTGAAACCATTGGTGTTTCGCTTTCCTTCGCTTAGAAATGTGCGTCTCTTTTCCATCAACCAAAACACCAAAATATTGTCCATATAAAGGAGGTATACCTACAAAGCTACTATCACTTATAAAATATTCCTAATAATTGTTTCACACTAAAAAGCCTACAAATCAACTTAAATCTCACAAAATATCATAAAATCTGCAACAAGCTTACCAAATAAGCCAAAAGTTAAAAAATTAATAAAATTCCCATTATAAGCAGATATATTACAATGATGGCCACTCTTATTGTGACATCAAGAGTACGGAATCTGCTGACAGTGGCCTGCGCAATATCATACCTGTTATTCTTTGTATCATGGGTCAAACCTTAGCGGGACTCCACGTACTCCATCGTAAAGTATCGTAAAGTCCTATCAGATATCTAAGACAGTCATTAATATTTATTATCGATAAGTGTCTACCGCAAGGCAGCGGGGGATCGCCTCTGGACTGGATCGTACTTTTATTTCTATTTGCATTACTTATTCGATTGTTAGGTGTATTTAAGGCTGTTTTATCGGTACACCAAAACCTAGATACAGTGTTTTCTCTGTTATTTATCGACAAAATATCTCGAAATTTGGACACGTTATTCAAAATTATGTTGGCTTTAAACTGATGGTTTTACTTTTTTAATTTTTTTGAATGTTCTTTTGAAATATCGGATTATACAGTTTAACGTTCTATTATAACCAAACTTTTTACGCCCATCACTTGAAAGAGTTTTTTTTTCTTTAATCGTTGGTTTTTTTTTCACCTTTTTATGTCGGTAATAATCGAGAAAAGCGGTTTCAAACTTTGAAGAAAATTGCTAAAAAATACTGAAATCTAATAGTAAAACGTGTTACTCATCATTGGCATTTAGTTTCACCGTTATCGGCTGCGTGACGTCAAATCTCATGAACGTACGGTCAGATAGTTTGATTTGAAATCAATTTCAAGCTATAACTGCAAAATTGTTTATTTGTTTGTGACAACAAATTGTATTTTTTTTTTTGATAATAATATTTTTATGTTATTTTAAATTTATTATAAATAAACACCATGATGTTTTTTGCAGTCACGTTTCACAAATTTATATTCAATACTATATTTAGCTAAGACATATCAATTAAAAATGTGATAATTATTTTTAAAACATCTACGATAATCAAACGAAAAAGGTATTCCCGACAAAAGTAATTTGAATGGAGAATAATGCATTTGTTGTCATTAAACCACCCGCCGGCCGGCGCCACTGCGAAAACAGCTGTACCCGTCGTCGGCTGGCGTAAGCAGTGAGGAAAAGTAAGTGATACGCCCATTTCAAATCGCAGTGTGTTTTGACTGCTAAAACAGCCTTAACAGCCGGTCTGTATCATGGTCTACTAAAGTTATAATTGTTGCAAAAATATTCACATACACTACATTCACATATTTACAAAACTTTATCATTTCTAAATAGAGTACAAAAAGAACAGAGGCTAAAATATTTTAGAAAATTATTTTCAAAATTGTGGTGTGTCTAAAAGCTGGTTATATACTGTTATCAACTGAATTTAAAAATCTTTATATAAATTACGTATATATACAAAAGTTACCATTTATCAGTACAATTCAAAAAGTACTTACATTTAAAAAAAAATTACATGGACAAGTCAGTTTCACTATTGCTGTCGTTATCTAGATCTATAATAATTGTTTCTTTGAGCAACCTATCTGTATTTTCCCGGCTGTCATTGGCTATTTTCTCCATTTCTAATTCAATTAGACGAACCACAAATTAATTCAGGGTGGGCCAAACATTACTTCTCGTTGTCGATACTTTTAGCTTATGTCATATGTGTTCAATACGATTGAACATGCAATAGTAAGGAGGAAGTCTTGATACTGTATGACCCATTTCTTCTGCCAAACTGTCGCAATAATATTGTTTTCTGATGAAAAATGATTTTAAAGTATCAAGTAATTGTTTTTTAGAATAATTATCTTCATAATATATACCATTGTCCAGTATTTATTCCTGGATTCTAAGTTTGGTGTCAATAGAACATGGAAGTTTATTCGGCCTACGACTCTGGTAGCTGGCATTGTCCATCACAATAACACTGTTTGGTGTTCTATTTGGCAATAACTTCGTTGAAAACCAGTTCTCAAATAATTCTGACGTAATGTCATCATGATAGTCGACACGAGCGTCCTTAATGTTTTTGTATGACAAGCTTTGATGAAGCTTCTCTTGTACAGCGACAAAAAGAATCTGCCCAACCACATTTTGGAACGTCATGAGTGTCAAACCACGTTCCATCCAGATAAACCATATCTCTTCCACTTTCTTTGTATTTATGAATTTAAATTAAAAATTCCGTCCTCTATATTTGTAAACAAGCAGATCACTTGGTGTTTATCGATCGTGTTTATTTTAAAGCCGTTTTTAGAAGACATTGCCTTACTGTTTCTCTGCAGCACTTGATTCATGTGTCATTTTTCTGCAAAATATGCATGATGGTTTTTAGCGTCTTTTCTTTTTTTTCTACTTACTATCGGTTGTTTTGTTATTATGAGGTCATGAGAGATATCAACATCCTGAAAGTGAGAAAATGGAGAAAAATATGCACAGATCGAAATAAGTGGAAGAAAAGTAAAACCAAATATAACAAATACAACAAACTTTGACATACACAAAAAGAATGCGCAGAGATTCACCACAATAAGCAAATCAGAGAGTTCTAAATAAGAGCAACAAACATTATATCAGGAATGAAAGGTCTTGATGATGATGACTACCTTACAAAATATTACGTGGAATCTAAAAATACACTAAAAATAAAAACATTGATGGAAGTGCAAATTTTCAAATTTCAATTTTATCACCTATCTATAACATGCGGTCTGCCTGAAAGACAGGGAATGTATTGATGTGAAACTGTTTTAATATAATTATGTTTTTAGCTTTTAACAGCGCCGAGTCCAGTGAAATTAATGACATATTTAACCAATCGAAAGCAATAATGTGGTACAGCGTTCCGCATAAAGGGTCTACCTTAGCCGATTTTACTTTGCCCTTGTTACGAAGAAGTGTTGAGTTACTTGAAGTACAAAGAAGTAAGTATGCATTGGTAAATGAATCAATCGGTTGTGTATATATGTTGTCTTTACATAAATTATTTTAATGGTAAATCCCTTAGCGTCTAGTAAGCAATACCGAATACCTCCATAATAAAGTAACATAAAACAAAAGAATTGAATTGAACCAAATGTTTTAACGTCATTAAACTTTTTTAACAAAAACTTTATATCCAAGGCTTTTTTCATTGGTTGATTGATTAATTTTATAATTTAAGATTCGTAAAAACTTACGGAATGCTTTTTAACCCTCTCATGCATAATTTTAGGGAAAAATTTTTTTTTTCTTAGAAAAATTATTTTATTGCAAAATATTGAAAATTAACATTAGAAAATAGTATATTAAGTGAAAAAACATAAAATTTTTTTCTTAAACCCTAAAAAATAGTCCGTCCACTCTAGTGGTCACTATGCACTTGCAGAATCGCGGAAGCCTCAGTTTACTGGTATATTTCATACCAGTAACATGAGGCTTCCGCGATTCTGCAAGTGCATAGTGACCACTAGAGTGGACGGACTATTTTTTAGGGTTTAAGAAAAAAATTTTATGTTTTTTCACTTAATATACTATTTTCTAATGTTAATTTTCAATATTTTGCAATAAAATAATTTTTCTAAGAAAAAAAAAATTTTTCCCTAAAATTATGCATGAGAGGGTTAAAAAGCATTCCGTAAGTTTTTACGAATCTTAAATTATAAAATTAATCAATCAACCAATGAAAAAAGCCTTGGATATAAAGTTTTTGTTAAAAAAGTTTAATGACGTTAAAACATTTGGTTCAATTCAATTCTTTTGTTTTATGTTACTTTATTATGGAGGTATTCGGTATTGCTTACTAGACGCTAAGGGATTTACCATTAAAATAATTTATGTAAAGACAACATATATACACAACCGATTGATTCATTTACCAATGCATACTTACTTCTTTGTACTTCAAGTAACTCAACACTTCTTCGTAACAAGGGCAAAGTAAAATCGGCTAAGGTAGACCCTTTATGCGGAACGCTGTACCACATTATTGCTTTCGATTGGTTAAATATGTCATTAATTTCACTGGACTCGGCGCTGTTAAAAGCTAAAAACATAATTATATTAAAACAGTTTCACATCAATACATTCCCTGTCTTTCAGGCAGACCGCATGTTATAGATAGGTGATAAAATTGAAATTTGAAAATTTGCACTTCCATCAATGTTTTTATTTTTAGTGTATTTTTAGATTCCACGTAATATTTTGTAAGGTAGTCATCATCATCAAGACCTTTCATTCCTGATATAATGTTTGTTGCTCTTATTTAGAACTCTCTGATTTGCTTATTGTGGTGAATCTCTGCGCATTCTTTTTGTGTATGTCAAAGTTTGTTGTATTTGTTATATTTGGTTTTACTTTTCTTCCACTTATTTCGATCTGTGCATATTTTTCTCCATTTTCTCACTTTCAGGATGTTGATATCTCTCATGACCTCATAATAACAAAACAACCGATAGTAAGTAGAAAAAAAAGAAAAGACGCTAAAAACCATCATGCATATTTTGCAGAAAAATGACACATGAATCAAGTGCTGCAGAGAAACAGTAAGGCAATGTCTTCTAAAAACGGCTTTAAAATAAACACGATCGATAAACACCAAGTGATCTGCTTGTTTACAAATATAGAGGACGGAATTTTTAATTTAAATTCATAAATACAAAGAAAGTGGAAGAGATATGGTTTATCTGGATGGAACGTGGTTTGACACTCATGACGTTCCAAAATGTGGTTGGGCAGATTCTTTTTGTCGCTGTACAAGAGAAGCTTCATCAAAGCTTGTCATACAAAAACATTAAGGACGCTCGTGTCGACTATCATGATGACATTACGTCAGAATTATTTGAGAACTGGTTTTCAACGAAGTTATTGCCAAATAGAACACCAAACAGTGTTATTGTGATGGACAATGCCAGCTACCAGAGTCGTAGGCCGAATAAACTTCCATGTTCTATTGACACCAAACTTAGAATCCAGGAATAAATACTGGACAATGGTATATATTATGAAGATAATTATTCTAAAAAACAATTACTTGATACTTTAAAATCATTTTTCATCAGAAAACAATATTATTGCGACAGTTTGGCAGAAGAAATGGGTCATACAGTATCAAGACTTCCTCCTTACTATTGCATGTTCAATCGTATTGAACACATATGACATAAGCTAAAAGTATCGACAACGAGAAGTAATGTTTGGCCCACCCTGAATTAATTTGTGGTTCGTCTAATTGAATTAGAAATGGAGAAAATAGCCAATGACAGCCGGGAAAATACAGATAGGTTGCTCAAAGAAACAATTATTATAGATCTAGATAACGACAGCAATAGTGAAACTGACTTGTCCATGTAATTTTTTTTTAAATGTAAGTACTTTTTGAATTGTACTGATAAATGGTAACTTTTGTATATATACGTAATTTATATAAAGATTTTTAAATTCAGTTGATAACAGTATATAACCAGCTTTTAGACACACCACAATTTTGAAAATAATTTTCTAAAATATTTTAGCCTCTGTTCTTTTTGTACTCTATTTAGAAATGATAAAGTTTTGTAAATATGTGAATGTAGTGTATGTGAATATTTTTGCAACAATTATAACTTTAGTAGACCATGATACAGACCGGCTGTTAAGGCTGTTTTAGCAGTCAAAACACACTGCGATTTGAAATGGGCGTATCACTTACTTTTCCTCACTGCTTACGCCAGCCGACGACGGGTACAGCTGTTTTCGCAGTGGCGCCGGCCGGCGGGTGGTTTAATGACAACAAATGCATTATTCTCCATTCAAATTACTTTTGTCGGGAATACCTTTTTCGTTTGATTATCGTAGATGTTTTAAAAATAATTATCACATTTTTAATTGATATGTCTTAGCTAAATATAGTATTGAATATAAATTTGTGAAACGTGACTGCAAAAAACATCATGGTGTTTATTTATAATAAATTTAAAATAACATAAAAATATTATTATCAAAAAAAAAAATACAATTTGTTGTCACAAACAAATAAACAATTTTGCAGTTATAGCTTGAAATTGATTTCAAATCAAACTATCTGACCGTACGTTCATGAGATTTGACGTCACGCAGCCGATAACGGTGAAACTAAATGCCAATGATGAGTAACACGTTTTACTATTAGATTTCAGTATTTTTTAGCAATTTTCTTCAAAGTTTGAAACCGCTTTTCTCGATTATTACCGACATAAAAAGGTGAAAAAAAAACCAACGATTAAAGAAAAAAAAACTCTTTCAAGTGATGGGCGTAAAAAGTTTGGTTATAATAGAACGTTAAACTGTATAATCCGATATTTCAAAAGAACATTCAAAAAAATTAAAAAAGTAAAACCATCAGTTTAAAGCCAACATAATTTTGAATAACGTGTCCAAATTTCGAGATATTTTGTCGATAAATAACAGAGAAAACACTGTATCTAGGTTTTGGTGTACCGATAAAACAGCCTTAAATACACCTAACAATCGAATAAGTAATGCAAATAGAAATAAAAGTACGATCCAGTCCAGAGGCGATCCCCCGCTGCCTTGCGGTAGACACTTATCGATAATAAATATTAATGACTGTCTTAGATATCTGATAGGACTTTACGATACTTTACGATGGAGTACGTGGAGTCCCGCTAAGGTTTGACCCATGATACAAAGAATAACAGGTATGATATTGCGCAGGCCACTGTCAGCAGATTCCGTACTCTTGATGTCACAATAAGAGTGGCCATCATTGTAATATATCTGCTTATAATGGGAATTTTATTAATTTTTTAACTTTTGGCTTATTTGGTAAGCTTGTTGCAGATTTTATGATATTTTGTGAGATTTAAGTTGATTTGTAGGCTTTTTAGTGTGAAACAATTATTAGGAATATTTTATAAGTGATAGTAGCTTTGTAGGTATACCTCCTTTATATGGACAATATTTTGGTGTTTTGGTTGATGGAAAAGAGACGCACATTTCTAAGCGAAGGAAAGCGAAACACCAATGGTTTCAAAGAATTGAATGAACAGGAGTAAAGGAAGATTTAAGAATCTATAATGAAAACAATGTTGAAAAAATAATAGAAAAGAACCAAGGCCTGAAATGCTTAAGATCAAACTTAGGAAAACCTATAACAATGTCATTGAAGGATAAAGATGGAAAAGAAATAAGAGAAAAGATCGAAATCCTAAAAGTTACTCATACATTTAACCGTGATTTATATTCCTCAAACAAGAACCCAGATAACACTGCAAAGGAAGATCTTAAGAGAAACATAACGAATGTCAACTCAGAAATACTCCCTAACATAGAATTCTTCGAAATAAAACCTAAAAGTTATGGCACAACTAAAGGAGAATAAGGTTCCGGGCCCAGACGGAATACTTGTAGAAATGTTGAAGGAAGGGAGTGAAATTATTCTCGAAGAATTGAATTTTTTTTTGGGAGAAGTCCCAGATGATTGGAATGAAAGTTTGACAATACTTCTCTTCAAAAAGGGAGACAGGGGAGATCTGAAGAACTATAGGCCAATCTCCCTGCTATCCCAAATGTACAAACTGTTTATGAGAGTAATAACTAACAGGTTAACTTCTTTAATTTTCTTCTTTTTCGTGTCTGTTTCTTTCATGATTATTGATACATCTTTGCATTGTCGTCTGTGCTCGTTGTCCCAGGCATGCTTGCATATGAGATTTCTCGTTGATGTGGTGATTTCCCGTTGATATGGATTCTTGATGTATGTTTCGTGCTCGTTTATCCTGACATTAAGTGGTCTTGCTGTTTCTCCCACTGTGTCTACCACCTTGATCTTCCTTGATTACACAGGATATTTGATCGAAGAATATTTGGACTTCTTCGTCTTGATGTCTTGTAGTAGGGGCGTTTACTTGAACGATTTTTAGGATATATCTTACTTATTTAAGTAAACCACTATTGTTGAGATTTGCTTTATTGACACAATTCTGTTGGCAATTCGTTTGTGAAGGGAGAAGCCGATGCCTCCGATTGTCGATTCTTCTTCTCCTTTGTAGTACCTACCATACATTGCCTGACGGGAGTGTGATAAGACTCTCTCTCTTTTTTCGTACTTCACTTACATCCACAATATCCCAATTCACTTTTGAGAGTTCTTGTTCAATTTCTTTGAATCTTTTCTCGGTAGAGAAAGACCGAGCATTATATATTATGGCGATGTTGAGGTTTACCTTTTTGACGCCTTTTGAGCAGGGTTGGTTTACAGTGGTCCGATTTTTGACATTTAAACACCGTGCTTGTCTTGCATATTGGTGAGTATTCATATTTATTCTCACGAGTAGCTGAGAACCTTTGGTTGATCCCTGTAGAGCCACGCATTTAGGAACAAGGCTGATGTTCAATGGATTTCACCCAGTGTCCCAATAGCACCGTTAGCGGCTACGTGGCGTGCGACCATTTGGTTTTTAGCAGGATCGCTTCCACCTTAACTTACGGATTTTTTGCATCTGGTTTTCTCAACATTCTTGTTGAGTAGGGTGGGAGAGAAGGAAGCGTAGGAGAGAAGGAGAGAGGGATTTAGGGGCAAAACAATGAGCTCACGAGAGCAGGTGTGCTATTCCTGAAGTAGATCAGTCCTCCGCCAGGATGGCAAAGGAGTATCTACCCACTACCCGTAGCACTAGATCACTGTAGTGTTTTATTATTTAGTTTCCAATTAGTTAGTTTCATCTTCTCGCTATTATTGCCTTTTTGGTTGCTTGCAATATTTATTAAAAAAAAAAGTTTGCAAAATAGGCAAATATTGTATCAAAGCTTAACCGACTACTAATAATGCTATACTACTAGTAAAAACTAGATCAATAAATGGAAAATGTGAATCGAATAGAAACAAAAGTAATACATTACTTTACATTACAGTTCAATCCGAAACATTGTGACAGCCATAAATCAATCATCATCATCGACAACCCTTTCTGGGTCTTGGCTTGTTCTAGGATTTTCCGCCATTATGTTCTGTTCCTTGCTTTGTTTTTCCAGTTGGTAATCTTAAGTGTTTTCAGACCTTGTTCTAGTTGTTCCATGTATCTACGTTTGGGTCTTCCCTTTGACCTTCTCCCTACTGGTTTTTGGCTCATTATATGTTTTGGTTTTTCAGCCTCCAACATCCGTTCAACATGGCCCATCCAGCGAAGACGTCAGATCTTTATGGATGTTATGACCTCGGGTTCACTGTATACTGTGTAGAGTTCAAAGTTATATATTCTGCGCCATATGTCATTTTCCTTTAGCCCCTTATATATGTGTCTAAGGATTTTTCGTTCAAACGTACCTAATAGGTTCTCATCGCTTTTCGACAGTGTCCATGTCTCTGATCCGTATACAAGGACCGGTTTAGATATGGAAAATTTTTCACGCTTTCGATTTTTTTTTTCACGTCTTCTATTATCAGATTCTGTAGGTTTCTTTGGTCTGTCGATTTTCTGGCCTTCGTGTATTCGGTTTTTATTTCGTTAATGTTTAGGCCACTGTTTTGTGCCGCTCTTTCTATCGCATTAAATGCTTCTATCATCTCTCTTTCGCTTCTAGCTATGATATCAACATCATCTGCAAAAGCCAATATTTGTACACTTTTTGTTCGTATTGTTCCTTTGGTGTTGACTTTTGACTCTTATTATTTTCTCTAATGTGATGTTGAATATAATACAGGATAGGGCATTTCCCTGTCGTAGGCCCGTTCTAACATGGATTGCATCTGTTAGTGCGTTTTGAATTCGAATTGTGCTTTGTACTTTAAGTATTTCTTTTACTGTATCAATGAGTTGAGTTGAAATATTAAACTCTTTCAGTGCATGGATCAGAAATTGTCGATGGATGCTATCATAGGCACTCTCAAAGTCAATGAAAAGATGATGTGTGTCTATATTAAATTCACTAGTCTTTTCCAAGATTTGCCTCAAGACGAAGATCTGATCTATTGTGGACTTCTGCCTGCGGAAACCACATTGATATCCCCCAACTATTTGTTCCGCATATGGTCTCAATTGGTCATACACAGTATTTGACAGTATTTTATATGCCACAGTTAGCAGCTTTATTGCCAGATAGTTTTTTAAAAGGAGAATTTATGTCTAGTCTTCTTTACAGGTCCCGGTTAATGAGAGTAAAACCTAGAAATACATATAACGGGATGACAATGGAATGATATACGAATATTCCTGTACATGTATTCGTTGCAAATAAATGAAATACTACTACTACATGTGGGTTTACAACGTTTTCTGCCGTTTTTCGACTTCCAATCTCCACTTCGTCCGGTCTTTCCTTAGGTCCCCTTCTATGCTTCCTTCTCTCCCAACTTGTTCTCAGTCTATCTCGTTTTCTCTTGCCTTGTGGTTGCCATTTTAGTATTTCCTGTGATTGTTCATTTAATACTCCTTCTTTCTCTAATTCGTTCGTTGTTAATCCTTTCTCTTCTAGATCTTCCTGTCGCTCTTCTCCAAAAATCCATTTCCGTTATAAAAAGAAGGGAACAATTCCAGAAATGAAAAAATTACAATAAAGAAAAATCTGCTCCTAATATATAGAAGGAAACTTAACGAGTACCTATAACAAGTCAGAATAAAAAATATCTTTAAATAGTTATATTTTATACATACTAACGTTTTACTTACTAGTAAGCATCATCTGTTTTATGTAAAGTCCTCCTTTGGAGTGCCCAACCCATACAATAGGATGTTTTCCTACACCGATTTTAACTAATTCCTCTATCATTTCATTACTTCGTTCGATCAAATTGGTTCTAAAACAAAAATGATTTATTAGTATCATAAAATTGTAATTTTTGTTCATTAAGAACTTAAATTTTTCATCAAAAATAAAGATACTTGTTACGTCGATTTATTTGATATGATCAATCCTAAACTCAACGATTTAATATTTATTTCCTTTTCCCCTGTGAGTATATACTTTTCCGTGCGGTTATTATGTTGCATGATGGATTAAGAGTTTCTTAAGAGATCATAAAAATATTCTATTTAAGTTATGGTTTGTCACATGAATATTTGTTCAATGAGTAATTGAACTTGAATTGTTAAGTCAATTTGGCATTAAGGCGAATGAACAGCAGCAGAAGAAAGCGGAAATGTATGTCGGTAGAAGAAAGGCAGATTGTAAAAGACCATGATCCCCCGAGAATTAAAAAATATAAATTTTTATATTTGCAGTCCAAATGTTTGTAGTAGCAAACACATATCCCGCTTGCCACGAGAAAAATGTTTTTAGTTTTGTATCCAATTAGTTCCTATTTCTTCTTAAGTTTTTGTAGCAAACGGATGTGTGTCGACTACTATATTTAACTGTTGGAATTATTTTAATGTACCTGTTTTTTTTTTTCGAATTTAGATTTCTGATTTTTTTTATTTTTTTATAGCTTCTCATCCGTCATTCACTACATATTTTGTATTCCTTAATATTTCAGCTTCTCTTTGGTCTGTCCCTTCTTTCTCTTTAAACTTCCATTTAGACTTTTTGTATTTAGAAATAAGTATTCATCCTTATTTCTTCTTAATTACTTTTGCTATTATTTTATATCTTCAATTCAGAATTTTATGTATGATATTAGTATTTTATAATACTGGATATAACCGCATCATATGATTGCCTCATATACCATCTCTGTGCGCATCATTTACTAAAGTACTTACGATTTATTACTTTTGCTACCACATTAGCAGATACTTGTTTATTTATAATAATATAATAGATAATTCAATTAAAACATTTAATTTATCTTTTTCAAATTATAATTATTACTTCTTTTTTTGTTTTATTTAAAAAGTTTTTTGTGTTCAGTCACTTTATCTTTAATATAAACGTGACTCTATGAAAAGTCTTTATTCTCTGGAATTTAAGTCATGTCATAGAGCGAGGACACTTGACTAGTTTTATGTGCCAAAAACTTAACGTTGCTCTGTTTTTAGACACTTGGGTCTCGTCTTGGAATAAAAATGGAATAGAATTAAATCCAATCCACCAGGCATAATTCCAGATCCATGGAATACAACTAAACCACCACCAGGTCCATTTCACATTGAATGAAATAAAAAAACTAATGGTGTAATAGTCGTCGTCCAAACTTGATCGAGGACGGTTGTAGATAAAACAATTACTGTTATCAATTTTACCATTTAAAGCTAATTATACCTTAATGGACTTGAAATATTAAAAATAAATCTGGTGTAGTGATACAAAACAGATTTTATATATTTAAATCAACCTAATTGTGTCGATACATATCAAACTCGCCCAAGTCCACTATTGCTTATTTTAGATATTATTTATTTCTTAAATTCAGTAAAAAATTTCGATTCTTTTCGTTTATATCGATACTACCCAAGTCCTCGGCTTCCTAAAGAAATTAACGGCAGAAGTTGATAGATTGTATCAATCCAACCTAAGTCACCGGCGCGTTTCAAATCATACCCGCCAGAGTCCATTACAGCCAATCACATTTAATCTTTACTCTGTCATGGCCGCCATTCTTGTTTAAACCACGTACTAGTGATAACCGTGCTCTGTATTTATATTTTAATTATGAACAATTTAATAAACGTTGTGCCTCCAGAACTAGCAAAAAAGAAGCAGAAAAAAATTACAACTGATAATGTGAAGAAAGATGGACAAGATAGGTAAGTTTGAGCATAATATTAAATGTTTTCATGGTGAGATCCTACCTCGAGACAGCTTAGTCGTGTCGGAAAACAGGGTCGGACTGCGTTTGATTGTTCGAACTTAGACCTATCCCATTTCTTGATTGGTATTAAATGCAGTTTTAAGTATTAAATGTAAATTAAAATAAATTTTACCTAGTTAAAATAAATATGTGTAAATATTCTGATTTTGTTTTCTTCATATTTTGTTCATTTATTGCTTCCCTACCACCACGTGGTCACAAAATCGAGCTCAAAAGATCAAAAATTTTGTTCTCATCAATTAATTTTTTTAAATTGAGGTTGGGAAGCACCCTGCTTCTCACAGCAACTATTTTCTCTTTTCCTTTTTATTATTATTCTTTTTTTGAAGTTCTTTTCTGCTTCTTAAAGTTCTTTTTTTTTTCAGATACTTGGCCACATCTTTACCCAAAAAGCCCACATGTAAGCACGTGAATAAAAGCAAATACAAATGTGAATCTTTAACATCTAATACCATGTTCTACTTCCATAAGAAGTTTTATAGCAGTCATAAAAAAATTGATCAAGATAATTTCATTTTGAAGTACACATCTATAACTACTGTAGAACGAAAACGATCAAGAACAAATACCAGAACTCCAAAATCGCATTCCAATCATTTTTTTATTCCTGACCACAAGTCACAGCAACTTGTTCCAGTCTGTCTTCCAGCTTTCTGTCATGTGTTAAATATAAAACAAGGTAGAATAAAAGGAGTTACTAAAAGATTTGCAGAAAATGGGACTAGTGCATCAGAGAGGAGAGGTGGTAACCAAAAAGAGTTTGCATATAGATCGAAATTGGATTCGGTCCAAAAATTTATTATGAAATTCCAACCTTTAGATTCTCATTACTGTAGGGGCAAGATAAAACAGAGAATTTATTTAGACCCTAGTCTTAATATTACTAAAATGTACAAAATGTATGAAGATCAATCCTTACCCGGATTCTCAGTGACTAAATCGTATTTCAGAAAAGTATTTAATACATCTTTTAACATTGGATTTGGGACACCACGACAGGATGTTTGCTCCGATTGTCTACAGCTTATAGAAAAACTGAAAAGATGTTCAAACGGCATTGAAAAGGAAAATATACGTGCACAATATAGAATTCATAAGATGAGAGCTAAACGCTTTTTTCAGCTTTTGAAAGATGAAGATCCAGATATACTCATCCTTTCATTTGATTGTCAAAAAAATCTACCCATGCCCAGGGTACCAGGTCAATCAACATATTACTCAAGGCAGCTATATATATATATATATATATATATATATATATATATATATATATATATATATACAATTTTACAATTGTTGTGGAAAACTCAAAGGCAAATTTAACACGTCAAAATGTCTTCTCTTATGTTTGGACTGAGGATAAGGCACTAAAAGGCTCCAACGAAATAGCATCATGTGTCTATCACTGCCTAAAAAATTTAAATATTGAGGGAAAAAAAGTTGTCAGGTTGGTAGCCGATGGCTGTGGAGGACAAAACAAAAACTCCACTTTAATTGGTATGGTTTCAAAATGGCTACACGAGACACAAAATGATTTATCTAAAGTTGAGATAAGTTTTCCAGTAACAGGTCATAGCTTTATTCCTCCTGATAGGGTGTTTGCAATAACTGAAAAAAAAAATAAGGCGTCTGGAAAACATATTAAATCCAAACGACTACATTAATTTAATGTCGTCTAATGCTACCGTCTACAATTTAGTTGATCAAGTGCCTGTATTTGATTGGAAAGAAGCATGCAAGAATGTGCTTAAACCCACACAGAGCCTGCACTTCCAAATCAGTAAATGCAAGCGCATAATTATTGAAAAGGTAATTAAAAAAATTATGGTACGGGGTGAATTATCTTACAGAAATGACATAAGTCAACTCTTACCAATAACAAAACGAGGTAAAAAGATTTCTCACATATTACCTAACAGAATAACTCAAAGTGTCACCATTAAACAAGAGAAGCTTGATGATGTTAATAAACTGTTGAAAAAACACTTTGGAGATCAGTGGCCGGAAATCCCGGAGCTAAATTATTTTAGAAACGTTCTGGCTCTACCCGGACATGATGGTGAAAATGTAGGTGGTGAAGAAAATGACTCCGTACCTGAGGAAATACTTGATTTTGTCTAGTTCTTTGTTCTTGCTTAGATTTCAATATTTTTATGGTTAATATCTATATATTAAAATTTTTTTATTAATCTCATTCGTTTTAATCTCATATATCTAATAATCTAAAAAACCAAAAGACAATAAATATGTTAGCTCATATTTTATGGAAAACATATTTTTATAATAAAATTGACTTTCAAATTTCCTGAGTCCGTACCTCAGTAAGTAAGTCATATCAAACTCACCTAAGTCCTATTGCAATATTTCAAACTCTCCCAAGTCCAATTATCTATTTTTCAATATTGCCCAAATCCATAACCATTATATCAAATATGCCTAAGTCCTAGTAAAATTAATGAAAAAGTGTATCTACATTGTGAATTTAATTTGATTTTTGACTTGTCTGTGTTCCCAGGCATAATATTGATAATGCGAAATAAAATCACAACTTTATACTAGCTAAAACCTCAAACTACAAAAAAACATCATTATCTGAAAAATGTTTACTCGTGACTTGGGTGTTTTTGATATATATCGACACAATTAATTATTCCAAAACAAATTAAATAATAAAAATAAAGTAACTATATTAATATTAGTGCTGGCGATTGTGTCAAAAATGTGTTGCGAAGCTAATTTTTTGGAATCCACAAATCAAAGGTAACATCTTATACTAATATTAATAGTTAAACCACAATGTCGAACGGATATAATCAATATCCATTTCCATACTCTCAATGTTCAACATCTAGCCAGATGAACCTCAGCGACCAAAACTTAACAGTTCAACAACTAGGATATTTTCCACAACAAATGCAAACGGGACCACATCCCGCATCACAAATCCAGCAAAATTTCGCTCCAAGCCAGCTAAACCAGCCAATGCAGTTATATCAACCTCAATACCAGTATTCAGTCCAAAGTACATTACCACAATATCAACCCCCAAGCACATCGAAAGCAAATGATGAAGAATGGCAAATAGTACCAAATAAAAAACGTGGGAGAACCAGTCCGGGACAACACCCCAAACTTAAACAAACCAAGATAGATAACTACTGGCTCAACACACCAACAGCAAATAAATTTAATGTATTAATCAATGAAGAGACACACGAAGCAGATACTGAAGAGGAAAAACAAAAACAGGAAGAGAAGCCCCCACCAATATTTATTGCCGGTGTTAAATACATCCAACCATTAAACGAACTATTAAACACTATAGCCAAAGACAAACATTTAATCAGAGTGTTGAATGAAGAACAAGTCAAGGTACAGGCCCAAACAATTGAAATATACGACAGTATAATAAAAGCACTTGATGAGAAAAAAACCGAATATCATACATATCGTAAGAAGCAAGATAAACCCTTTAGAGTAGTGATTCGTCATCTTCATCCCACAGTGGATATAAACGAAATCAAAAAAGAACTAGAGAGCCAAGGACATATCGTTCTACAAATAACGAATATACTTCAAAGAACTACAAAAAAAACCCTACCGCTATTTTTTGTGGACTTGAAAATGCAAGAAAATAATAAAGAAATTTATCAGATAGAATATTTACTCAACGCAAAAATTGATGTCGAAGCCCCAAGACTAAAAAGAGAATTAGTACAATGTACCAGATGTCAAAGATATGGTCACACAAAAAATTTCTGCTATCATCAATACAGGTGTGTAAAATGTGCTCTAAATCACAAAACAGCTGACTGCCCTAAGAAAATTCGATCTGATCTTGTAAAGTGTGTACTTTGCGGTAAAAACCATCCAGCGAATTATAGAGGATGCAGTGTACATAAACAACTGCAAGAAGCAAGATTTCCAACCTTAAGAAAGAAAGAGTCACAGAATCAACTACAAAACCAACAGCTACCAGTGGCTACAACAAATATAAGTACAACACAAAGACCTACATATGCTCAAATGATAAATACCAACCAACAAGATACTACAATGGTCACTCAGGCAAATGACATGCAGGAGTTAAAGAATATGATGAAAGGGCTTATGGAACAAATGAGCACCATGCTAAACTTACTAACAACACTTGTCTCAAAAATGAACTAATGGCTAATACACTAAAATTTACCATATGGAATGCTAATGGCTTGACACAACACAAACACGAGTTGTATGCATTTATAGTTAATCATCAATTAGACATAATACTGATTTCAGAAACACACTTCACGAAAAAAAGTTTCATAAAATTTCACAACTACAAAGTATATCACACAACACATCCAGATGGAACTGCACATGGTGGGACAGCAATCATTATAAGAAACAACATCAAACACTACCAGACAACTCACTATCAAAAAGCATATATTCAGGCCACAAATGTAGTTGTAGAAGACTGGACAGGACCTATAACTTTTTCAGCTGTATATTGTCCACCAAAACATTCAATTAAACAACCAGAATTTAAAACCTTTTTTGATACACTTGGACCTAGGTTTATTTGTGGCGGAGACTACAATTCAAAGCATTTAATGTGGGGCTCTAGACTTATTAATACCAAAGGCCGGGAACTACAAAAAGAAATACACATGGATAATCTAAACATAGTAACCACAAGGGAACCAACATACTGGCCTACAGACCCTGCAAAAATTCCAGATCTTCTCGACTTTGCTATAGTGAGAGGAATAAATGAAAAATACTTTAAACCAAAGTCCTGTTACGATTTATCCTCTGACCATTCACCTGTTATCATAACTGTAAGCAAAAACATAACAAAAATAGAAAGGAGCTGTATACTACACAACAACAAAACAAATTGGAGTTATTTTCGATATCAAGTAGACAATCAAATCAATTTAGACATCCCACTAAAGACAGATAAACAAATCGAACACGCAGTAGAACATTTTAACACAGTTTTACAGGAAGCAGCATGGAACTCCACACCATTACCTACACATCGACATATGAACAAAAACTGTTCCAATACAATACATGGAAAAATAATTGAGAAAAGAAGACTCAGAAAACAATGGCAATTAACAAGATCACCTCAAAGTAAAACAAACCTTAATAAAGCACAAAAAGACCTAAAAAAATTGATAATGGCAGAAAAAAAATGCAAGTTTTCAAGAATACCTACAAAAACTAGATGCAACTCAAGCCACTGACTACTCGTTATGGAAGGCTACAAGGACTCTACGAAGGCAGAACTATACAGTCCCACCAGTAAGAACACAAACAGGACAATGGGCGAGAAGTCCACTAGAAAAAGCCGAAACATTTGCGACACACCTTAAAAAAGTCTTTACACCAAATGAGGGAAATTACTCACTACAAACTGAAGAAGAAATTATTTCGATACTCACAAAACCTTATCAACTAGAACTTCCAAAAAAAAGATTCACAAAAAATGAGGTAAAAGATATTATACAACACAACATCGATCCAAAAAAGGCTCCAGGATACGACCTGATTACGGGAAAAACTCTTCAGCAACTCCCAGAGAAAGGCTTCCAATTTCTGACACAGTTATTCAACTCTATAATGAGATTAGGCCACTTCCCATCACAATGGAAACTAGCACAAATAACAATGATACTAAAACCAGGAAAAGAACCAGAAAGTGTACAGTCCTACCGTCCTATTAGTCTTCTTCCAGTGGTATCCAAAGTTTTTGAAAAGCTGACACTTACTAAGCTAATGCCTATACTAGAAAACAAAAAACTAATACCACCACACCAATTTGGGTTTATAAAACAGCATTCAACGATACAACAGGTACACAGAATTGTAGAGAGAATCAACGAGGACTTTGAAAATAATAGGTACTGCTCGGCGGTATTTCTGGACGTAAGTCAGGCATTTGATAAAGTCTGGCATAAAGGCTTATTATGTAAACTAAAACAGAATTTACCTACAAATTACTATATAATCTTAAAGTCCTATATCACCAACAGAAACTTCCAGGTAAAGTATGAGAATGAATACACAAACATACAACAAATTCTCGCTGGGGTGCCCCAAGGAAGTGTACTAGGACCTATATTATACCTTATATTTACTGCTGACCTACCGACAGAAACACACATAACTACAGCTACATTTGCGGATGATACGGCAATAATATCGTCGAACAAAAATCCCAAAATAGCCTCAGAAATCTTACAAAATAATCTAAATCAAATCCAACAATGGATGACAAAATGGAGAGTCAAAATTAATGAAAACAAATCGCTACACCTAACATTTACCACGCGTAGGGAAACATGTCCGGCTGTTTACTTAAACGGTACAGGAATTCCACAAGGGGATGAAGTCAAATATCTAGGTATGTACTTGGACAGAAGATTAAACTGGAGGAAGCATATATTTACTAAGCGAAAACAACTGGGTCATAAGTTAAGAACCATATATTGGCTGTTGGGCAAAAAATCAAAATTATCAACCGAAAATAAAATATTAATCTATAAATCCATCCTAAAACCAGTGTGGACTTATGGGATAGAATTATGGGGAACCGCCGCACATTCCAACATTGAAATAATACAAAGATTCCAGTCCAAAACATTGAGATCAATACTAGGAGTTCCATGGTTCATAACCAATGAAGCCATTCATCGGGATGCCGGACTATCATATGTCAAAGATGACATCAAAAAGTGCGCGAAAAAACATAAAGAGAAACTTAAAGTGCACCCAAACGTGTTAGCAAAAAGTTTAGTGAATAAACCGCGTACTGTTCGTAGGCTAAAACGAAAAGTTCCGTTAGAGTTAAGTGAACAATAGGTTCTAAATTAATGTGTACAAGTCTATGTCAGAAATAGTCAGTGTTGTAGGCTAAGTTTTTAAAAAAAGGGGTGCATCACTGGATGCCTCCCTACATGTCATTCCAAATTATTGTCAGTCCTATTACTTATTGTCTATTATCTACCTAAATATTTAGGTTTAGATTGTACAGATAGATTGTAATAAATGTGGGGTTAATAAAAAAAAAAAACATCATCAACTTTCCATCCAGCAGCTCTATATAGAACAGTATAGCAAGTTAA